CCCCTCTAGGGGGAAAACTTCTGGTTGTTCTTTCTTTTAAGGACAAATCTAGCAACAAAGTTTCTTTTTTAAAGATATTTTGTCAATATTTGTTCCTTTAAAATGCGAAAGGAAACAGTGGAATCACAATGTTACTCTTCTTTTAACTATCTGTCAAAAACATTTGTCTCTGGTCAATGAGCTTCAAACGTCAATTCTGACACCCCGCTCCAGGATCAGGACGGTGGAAAGTTACTTTACTTTAAACTCACTTCTGCAGGTTTAAACAGTCCAAAAAGATCCCCCTTCTTCTCCTGCTACCGAAGGGAGGTTCAACGATTTTAAATGGTGAAAACCAATCCTTTGAAAGTGATTTTCTAAGCTCTAGTTTACGTTGTCTTTGCTTTCTTCTGACTACAAGGAAACGGAAGGCTGACTTCCTGTTTAGACCTTTCCGTTTCAGTACCAAATTAAGGTAAATTTTTAAGTCCAATTCCTTTCTAATCGCCAGTTCTTATTTGAAGTCCAATTGTTCAATGTTTAAGTACTCACGGGTGATTATTTTAGATGCCAAATTGTCCCAGGAAAAAGGCAGCGCTCTCCGGCAATGGCTATGCGGCTTCGCTCCACAGAAAAAGCAGTTGGCTCACAGCACCGCGCCACTTGCCCCTCTTCGCTTCGGAGCCCGTTAGTGGGTTCCTTTGCGGGTTGGGGGAGGCGCTAAGGGTGCCCACCGAGTCCCACGGTCACAGGCTTCATCCACCTGTGATTTCTAAAAGGGTCCCCGCTTCGCCGCAGCAGAAAAGACCCGTTTCGCGCGGAGCTGGTCCCTCCGGTTCAGAGGGAGACCGCCATTGCCGATGGCGCCACCCCGGAAGCCCATTCCACACAGTTTTCATTTCGTTTCCACTTAATTTCCAAATAAATTTCCTTTTTATAAAAAATAAATAAATTGCATAACGCCTTTCTACATTGCAGCCCTCAAGGCAGCTTGCAACCCATAGAAATGACAAGTGTGCATCAAAAGTCACGATGCCAGCCTATATAAGAATTCAAAGTATAACAAGAGAAACCAAGCTTGTCAAAATGCAAGACTCCATTTCACAAATAGCGCTGTGAGATAAATGTCAGTGAACAACGAAACAACATCTTCCTCATCAAATGCAACCAATTAAACAATTATGAATAACAAAGACAATGGCGGCAAAAATACAACGCAGAAATTGCCAGAGGCTAACTGAAAAGAACTGAGCAGCTATGTCCAATCTCTCATTTCCTGGGGAAGGGCCATAGCTCAGGGATACAGCATCTGATTTGCATGCAGAAGGTCCCAGGTTTAATCTTTAGTTAGGGCTGAGAGTGTCTCCTACCTGAAACCCTGGAACCATTGCTAGCCACTGTAGATAAGACTGAGCCAAATTGACCAGTGTTCTAACTCAGCGTAAGGCAGCCTCCAATGTTACTGTCCTGTGAGCTTCATCAAACAAATGTGGGGTGACCATGATTCCACAAACCACTTCTGAGAACACAGTAATGTCCTCTCCATAGATCCTGGCATCGGATTATTTCTGAGGTCTTTAAAGAGCAGCTGAACAAGGTAGTGGTTAAGTGTATTCATTAGGACTAGGAAGGACAAATGTGCTTCAGCTTAATTGGACTACATGTTGAATGAGACGAAAGAATTATATGAATGTAATGGGCTGTATAGTGACTAAGGATTTACTCATTTTATTGGTATATTATTCATTACCATGAGACACATCACATGGGAACAAAAGTACACACTCATTTTTACAATGTGTTTTATTTTCTCTTTTCACTGCTTTGTCTTATTTAATGCCACCTGATGGTACATTTGCAGGCCTATATTTCAAATTTAAAATGAAGTTGGCTGCCAGTTCCTAATAGGCTTTGGGGTCTTTTGAGGATTTTTTAAAAGTAGAATTATCTGTGCCTCCTTATAGATTTATTGGGTGTATCACAATTTGGAAGAGCAGCTGAAAAGCTATGTTTTTAAGTCTTAGCATTTGGCAGCTCACCTCTGTGTAGTTTACTGGTTAATTCTAATAATAATAATAATAACAATTTTAAAATTTGTATACTGTCCTATACCCGTAGATCTCAGGGCAGTTCACAACATAAAATTACAATATAAAAACCATAAATAATAATACCTAATTTACTCGAGTCTCATGCACCATCAAATCTAATGCGCACCTCAATTTTCAAAACCTTGAAACCCAAAAAGTGTATGCTGGCAAATGTAAATGTGCTGTTGAATCTAATGTGCACCCTAATTCTCACAATGTACTGTACTATTCCATGTGTAAGACAAGGGTTTTTTTTTACTTTAAAATAATGTTTAAAAATGGGGGTGTCTTATGCATGGATAGTGCATTGAGGGGATGAGCAGGAGCTTGTCAGCAGTGATTTGGTGGTTGATTGGTGGCTGCTGCAGGGCTGCTTTGGATTGGCTGGTGCTGCATTAATTGGGTGGGTGTTTGATTGCTGCAAGGGCTGCTGTGGATTGGCTGCTGCTGCAGCATATGGGCATGTGATTGCTGGCTGCTGTTGATGAGCAGGCACACGCTTGTTGGATTTGGTGAACGATTGTAAGCGTTTTCATTCGGGATCTCCCCCCCCCAAAAAAAGCTCAACAGCTCTGGGCCATCTCCCCCCATTTTCTTAAATCTGAGTCCCCAAAAATAGGGGTCGCCTTATACAGGGGGGGGGGCATGTCATACATGGAAAAATACGGTAATTTGACAAAAAAAGTGTGCATTAGAGTAAAAATGGTAAATAAAATGAATAATAAAAACAAAGACAATCCAATAAACTTGCCTTCCACACCACAAAGGACTGATTGAAGAGGAATGTTTTCACCTGGTGCCTAAAGGTGTATAATGAAGGCATTAGCCGAACCTCCCTGGGGAGAGCCTTGCACAAATGGGGGGCCACTGCATAAATGGCTTGCTCTCATGCTCTCACCCCTCAAACCTCTCATGGAGGAGGCATACAAAGAAGGGCCTCAGGGGATATTGCAATGCAGTTCTCCAATGTGTACAAAACTGGGTCTATTATGGGAAATATACATAAAAATGCATTCAAAAACGTTTTCTTCCTTCTCCTCCTTCTCCTCTTTAGCTTCTCACACCCATCTTTGTCTATACACCTCTTCAAGTTTTCTCCATCAGTCTCTGTTGGTTGCTTCCGGCATCCATATAAGCCCTGCCATTCATTTCAGATTATCCATCCATCACATAGGTTGTTGTCCTCATGGTCTTTTCAAATTGTAGGGTCTCTAACACTACTTTATTCCATTGGCCTGAATTGCCTCATGCCACATGCCCTGCTTATGTCTATTTTAACTCTGCAGTCTTTCCTGCTACACCTGTGACCTTCAATCTTTATTGTATCCAGTTATTAGTTTTTCTATCTTTTAATAATGTTCATAACATTGTATGTTCTGTGGCGAACTCTGAGCGGTGTGAGATTCCAGGGGTTCCAAGCATTTGTGCAGAATTCATGTTTCATTTGAAATGAGGGGCAGAGGAGGCTGTGGTGTCTTTCTGATATATGGTTTATTTTCACACATATACAACCTGAGGCTATGATGGAGGGGTTCCCAGCATTAACAACTCAAAGGGGTCTTGCTTCTCCCATATCTGCAGCCTTGAATTCAAAACCAAGCCTAGCTAGCTTCTAGCTCACACAACTCCACTCTGTTGTAGCAGCAAGTTGAGGGGAGGGGGCCCACCTATTTTTTTGTCTGCAACAGATCCACTTCCTTTGTTAACTTAATGACCTTCCCAGGAAGCTAGCCTGGCTATTCCAGGAATTTGAATCATTCCTTCGATTTTAATGTTTGCTGGATCCAGGAATTAGAAGCCTATCGCCCCCACTCCCACCCCATACAACTCAAAACAATAGCTTATATTATTCTCAAGGTTATTCCAAACAGTAAAATTACAGCTAACATTAAACAAACAAACACAAGATTTTGACTGCACTGAACAATGTTGAAGAGAGAATTTATTTTTTTAACTGTGGCTTTGAATTTTTAAGCCACTTTTATTTAAATCTTGTGCCTTGGTACAAAGCATTAATTCTATGTACAATCCTCCCAGTGCAGCCTTCTCAGTGGATTAAAGTTCTTTCCAATGCATCTTTGCTTGAAAGATTAGCAGGTGAATACATTATTTTATAAACCCATATTCAAGAACCAAGAAGCGAAAGGATCCAGTAGGGATTTGGGGCTATTGTAAGGTTGTTAATAACTTAGGCTGTTCTCTACCCCCACCCCCACCCCGCCACAAACAACACTTATCATTAAAATATATATTTACTAGAAAATAGCCACGAGCTTTGTAACTGGAGAGTTCCTTATTTCCTTTATCTTTCAAATCTTGCTTGCAAGGATTAATGAGCCAAAGATTGGAGCTTTATGTTGCAAGCACTGGAAGCATCTCATAGTCTTTGTAGCAAACTTTTATATTGATTTAGCAGAAATTGTGTTTCATTAGCAAGATCATTCATCAGCTACAAGAGCTATTGCCTTTGTAGAGCTTTAGAACAACCGATTGTCGATCTTCTCTTGGATCAAGGCAAGAAGAGTCAAGTTGATTGTACCAAAATAAACCAGTTAAATCCTGGGATGCCATTTAATAAATCATTGCAGGTAGGGAGCAGGGAGATAGATTCAGGAAGCTGCAATGTGGAGGAAGTCATGTAGTGTTATAGGCTTAGAACCTAAGATAAGGGAACTAGCACTATGGTTCATTGGACAGTGTATTAGGGACTATAGAGAGTGTTTCCTATGTAGAGAGTCACAGGTTCAATCCCCAGCATACCCAGGTAGGGCTAGTAGGGACCGCTGTATGAAATCCTGGAGCATCACTGTCAGTGGAGGCAATACTGAGTTCGCTGGAACACTAGCCTGAGATGACTGTCTGTATTCTCCTTTAAACCAGCCCATTCTTCAGGATGGTGAGGGATGGAATCTTTCTTTCTTTTTAGAGCAAGGACCTGAGCTCAATGGCAGAGCACTTGCCTTGTACACAAAGGCCCCAGGTTCAAATCTAGGCATCTCCTGGTTGGGCTGAGAGAGACTCCTGCCTGAAACCCTGGAATTCTGCTGCCCAACAATGCAGACAATGCTGGGATGATGGACCAATGGACTGGCTTCCTTTGTTTCCGTTGACTCTCCTCTATCAGATGCCTTCTCACTGTCACAGAACATCACTTACTAATGTTGGAGCTCTGACATTACTGAGGTGTAGCAGTCCTTCCACCCTCTCTCACACAGAGAGGTGGGCAGAAAACAATACCAACCTGGAGCTAGAATAATTCATTCCCCACCCATTGTTGCCAATATGAGGGAAAAGAAGTAGTGCTGGTCGTGAAACCCACAGATAGGACAGAAGAAATGCAAGAGGTCTGGTCTTTCATTGTTCATGCCCTACCAGTTCAAGGCCACTATGTAATGATTTGACTATCTCCTCTCCCCTCACCCCAGGATTTCAGCCTTAAGCCCACCCATGAGGCAGATGGAGGTAGCTGCCATGGGTGCCCTGCCCATCAGCAATGATGACGAACGAGGAGAAGCGGTTGCAGCAGTGGCTTCCAGTGGGATCTTGCAAGAGCCCCATGAAATCACATGAGAGCTCAGTGAGATCTCACCAGAAGCTGCCAACACTTCTTGCCTCTCCAGTGCTGCCACAGGCACACCCCTGTCATCCAGCTGCCATCAGAGAAGGGAGGAGAAACAGCTTGGGCAGCAGCTTCTGGATTCCAGCAAGATCTCATGGGGTTATCATGAGATCTTGATGGAAAATGCAAGCCGCAACTGTGGTAGTCATGGGCAAACCTCCCGCTTTGCCTCAGAGGGCAAAATAGGATGGGGTGCCCCTGCCTTAAGGTCATCCTCAGTTTTTTTAAATTCAGGCATCACTTCCTACTCTCTATGGAATACTTTATGGTGGCAGCTTTTGAAGCATATGGATGGGCCTCCTCTGACAGTTAGTTGGACGACCTCAGTCCAGTATACCTGAAGGAGCGTCTCACCTCCATTGTTCTGCCTGGACACTGAGGTCCTGCGCCGAGGGCCTTCTGGCGGTTCCCTCACTGCGAGAAGCCAAGTTACAGAGAACCAGGCAGAGGGCCTTCTCGGTAGTGGCACCCGCCCTGTGGAGCGCCCTCCCACCAGATGTCAAAGAGAAAAATAACTTTTAAAAGATATCTGAAGGCAGCCCTGTTTAGGGAAGCTTTTAATGTTTAATAGGTTATTGTATTTTAGTGTTTTGTTGGAAGCTGCCCAGAGTGGCTGGGGAAACCCAGCCAGATGGGTGGGGTATAAATAATAAATTATTGTTATATTATTATTATAGTTGTGCAGAACAGGCAGCCCAATTATGATCCTGTTCCCAAGAAATGCTTTCATCTTTCTTTCTTTTCAAAAAACCCCACATACTACCTAAAACTGGACCTGCAAAGTCCATGACCCCAGCTCAAAGATGAGCATGATCCCCACAACATTATATGGCTGTTTGGCGAACGCTTGATAAACCATCCATGTCTGCCTGCCTGGTGACTACAAATATGAGGCTGCCTGGCATTGGTAGGAAGCTGCTTTATATTGAATCAGACCATTGGTCCACCTAGTTTACTATTTTCTGCACTGACTGGCTGCAGCTCTTTTGGGTTTCAGATGGCAGACAACCCCGGCCCTACCTGCCGATGCTGGGAATTGAACCCAGGAACCATTTGTGTGCAAGGTAGATGTTCTACCACTGAGCTAGTTCTCAGTTGGCTTCCATACATTTGTCTTGAATTTTTGTCTTGAACATTAAAAAACTACTCTGGATCAACAGTACATCTAAATTGCCATCCTGTTTCCTGCAATGACCATCAATCCTTTGGGGAGGCCACAGTCAGAGCAGATTGCCTGCTCTGACTCACAAATGTTCCATGTAACCATCATGGCTAACACACCTTGATAGATCTACCCTCCATTAATTTATCTCAGGGCTGGCCCAAGATGATAATAATGATGATAATAATAAATCAACTCTTTCATCTATTTTAAATTTGTTGCCAAACAAATTTAAATGGGATGGCTTCCAGTTCTCATATTCTGAAAGAGAAATGAAAGCTCCTCTCTCTCTCTCTCTCTCTCTCTCTCTCTCTCCTGAATAATTTTATAATTTTATAATCATGACCTAACCCAGCACTTGTTATGCATTTTGTTTTAGAAACAACAACTAAAATGCCTCACAAACACTTCGGCCTTTGCTTGTAGGGGAGACGCTCCAAGCTTTTGGTCATTTTCACCACCCTTAATTTGGTAGCACACTTAATGCTGCCTTAACGTTCTATAGAGAGCAAAGCCCCTTTCTCATCACTTGTCATCCCCATCTGACAATAGCATATTATGTTTTCATTTTTTAAAAAAATCATATTTATTGATTTTCCAACCATTTAAACACAATAAAACAGAAAAAAACAAAAAAGGAAAAGAGAAAGCAAAGAAGAGAAAAGAAAGAACATAAGATTAACAAAACAAGACGCAAACCATTTAAAACACAAAACAATTTCAATATCTTAACTTTCATTCCCTTATTTCCACGACCTCCTCACACCTCCCTTTTGTATTCCACTTCTATTAATTGTTTCAGCAATTCCTTTCCATCTTCCTCTGTTTTCTATCCTATAATTATCTTAACATATTCTAATCTTATTTTTCCCTTTAATACTCTATTAATCTATTTATACTTAATTCCTTATAGCATTTCTACTAAAGCCATATAACTTCATTCCAACATTTTTCTAACATTCATTATTTTTACAATATTTCTATAAATAGTCTTAAACTTTTTCCAGTCTTCTTCCACCGACTCTTCTCCCTGGTCTCGGATTTCTGCCAGTCGTTTCCGCCAATTCCATATAGTCCATCAACTTCATCTGCCATTCTTCCCGGATAGATAAATCTTGTGTCTTCCAGTACTTCACAATGAGTATTCTTGCTGCTATTGTTGCATACATGAAAAGAGTTCTATCCTTCTTTAACACCAATTGGCTGACCATGCCCAGGAGAAAGGCCTCTGGTTTCTTCAAAAAGGTATATTTAAATGCCTTTTTCATTTCATTATGAATCATCTCCCAAAGTGTCTTAATCCTTGGGCATGTCCACCAAAGGTGAACTCTAATCCTCAAATTCGTCTGTTTTTCTTTAAGTTCAGTCATAGCAAGCGTCAACTTATATTCATCAAGTTGCTTCTGTAGGGCTGGGGCTCTCTTTCTCTTTCTCTCCAGTTGTGTTTCTTTACATTCAGCAACAACAGCTTTTTCCCTGGCCTCCTCCGCAGTTTGCCGTATCGAAATAGGTTCCTGTGTCAATTTCTGGGTGGTTTCTATATTAGTATTATTTATACTGTCTATATTTAAGTTAATTTTAGTGATTGAAACATCCACTTTCGCATTTATCGTGTCCATTTTCCTGTGATCCAATGAGTCATTTATCTTAAATATTGCAGCCACTAGAGCCTCTTCTGCCAACATTTCTCTTGGTTTTACATATACTGGTACAAAGGCTGCAACAGAAAGAGCAGGGGGGCCTGATGATGGACCTCTCCTGGATTGTTGCCAAGTCCTCCCAGACCTTAATGTTTTGTCAGCAGTTGACTGGTCTGTTTTTCCTCTTCCATTAACCATAACACTTAAAAGATTCAAGGTCAGTCCCAGAGTCTCACGGTTTTTAACTTGCAGCTGGAAATTTCCCTAACCCAACTCTTGTAAAGCAACCGGTTTCAAAGGCTTCCACTAGGGGGAAACAGTTTCTATTTGTAATAGTCAATAGTATCCTCTTTTAAACAATCCAAAATTAGTTTCAAGTTAGTTTCAATTTTCAGTTACTTTTACTCCTTTTTAAAGCAGCCGGAAACAGTAGAAACAATGTATTTCTCTTGTTTAACTAGCTGTCAATGAACGTTCTAAGCGCTGTCAATGAACATTCCAAAATACGTCAGTCCTACTAACAGCACGTTTCCAGGGTCAGAGCGACAGTGTTTTAGATCTCTTTGCTCTCTCCTGCAGGCATACTCAGTCCACAACTTCCCCCCTCTTCTCCTGCCTCCAAAGGGGGGTTTTGTTCTTTACCAATGGAAATTTAATCTTTTACAAAAGACTTTCCAGGACTCCAGCTTGCAACTTCATTGCCTCAGTCTATTTACAAAAGGGGGAGGCGGACTTCCTGTTTTGAACCTCCCCGTTATGATGCCAAATTAAACATTTAGAAATCCAATTCTTCCGCTTAAACTCTACTCACGGGTAATTACTTTAAAATCAAATTGTCCACAGGAAAAGGCCAGCGCTCTCCGGCAACGGCTATGCGGCCTCGCTCCGTGGAAGAAGCAGACGATTCGATGCACCGCGCCACTCACCCCACGTCGCTCCGGAGCCCCAAAAACCGGGGTTCCCCGCGAGTGGGGGAGGCGCAAAAGGTGCCCGCCAAATCCCACGCTCACAGGCTTCTCCCACCTGTGATTTTAACGGGTCTCCGCCTTCGCCGTGGCGGGCAGACCCAGATTCCCACGGAGCAGATTCCTCCCGGTCAGAGGAATTCCGCCATTACCGGAGGCGCCTCCCCGGAAGTCATATTATGTTTTCAACATATATGTCTGTAAGCAAACAATGACTGACATAAATGATGGTGTCTTTCTGACATCAGCTGTTTGACTTATCAAACGGAGAAGAACAAGGAATATGTTTCCGACGTGGCCAAAATATTCAGCATTAAACGGTTCAAATCCTAATGAGAAATTTTCAACAAAGTCCAAGCTGTCAGATTTGACAGTTCTAAATTCCAGTTTCCTGTCTGGAAACCTAGGGCGTTTGACTTTTCATCTCCTTGCAGCAGGAGGCCAGTAGTAAATCCACTACCATCCTAAGCAGAGATCTCTGATTGTCCTGTTAAAATTTAAGGCTAGTGTGGTGCCTGAACCTCTCTCCAATTTCTTCCCTATGATTTATCCATTTTTCTATCTCTTTCCTGGTACAGAATTTCAGCAGGTGATGCCTAAGAATGGGGGAGACATTAGATCCAGATTGCATTTAAATACAAACTTACCTAATTTGTACTTCCTAAAACAATGCACAGATAGAAACAGGGTCATTCTTAGAAATGTGCATTTTTCTGAATTTTGCAGCACAGTTCCCCAGCTAAGTAATGTGCAAAAAAGTGTGCAAATGCATCTGCTTGTGAGAACAACATACAAAAATACATGAAAACTGTTTTGCAAAAATACGGTCATTAGGCAAAATGTGTGTATTAGCAGAAATGCACACTAAAATACCAATGAATTTCCTTGAGGATTTTTTAAAAATCACAATTTGTTGCAGAAGCATGACAACCCAGGAAGGCTGCAGAATACAGACCACTGGAATGATTATTTGCAGAATGAAAGAGATGCTGTTGGAAAATCAAAACACAAATATTAAAACAGAAAATTAAAAATCCAACTGCTTAAGCCCTTATATTCCAGCTCAATCACTGAGATCATTCAGGGGAGTTCTTTTAGTTTTTCCTCATATTATAGAGCCTGACTGCCTCCACTAGGAGTTAGGCATTTATTTTCACTGGTCCCACACTATGGGCAACTCTTCCAAAAGAGATTCAGCAGGCATCCTTGTGTTTGCCTTTTTAAGACCCATTTTTTTGCCAACTTGCCTTTGCAGCTCTTTTTTAAATTCTTCTTGTTTATTAGCCAGCCACTTTAATGATTAACTGCCTTGTTTGTAATGGTGCTTTATGTTTCATAACTGTCCACCACCCTGATACAGAAAAAGATCCATAAATAAATAAATAAATCATGTTCCCCATCCAAAAGTGCACCATTGCACTTCCAAGATGCCATGGGCTTAAGCATGTAGCATTTGCTTATTCAGTCACCATTCCCCTCCCTCCCTGAGATCCCGTTATAATATTCCCAAACCTACTGACTGACCAGGACACTCATCTGTATGAGCAAATATACCTTCTGTTCCCTACCAGACAACCAAGGATATTTGTAGCATTCCAAATCTTCCCCTACCCCACAACTCCATACAAAAGGAACATGGATAGCACATATGATTAGAAGACTTTCAGCAGGATGCTTCTCAAACAATAATTGGATTGGATCAGCAAATTGATCAAAAAGGCAAATGTTCTCTAGAGCAATCACATTAGATGCCACCAGCCCTTCCTTTTTTGCCTATATTATTTGACAGTTGTTGGACCCAGAATGTCCAGTGGGGATAACAGATCAAAAGCAACAAGGTCAGCAAACAATGCAATTAAGCAAGAGACAATAATTGCTATTCTTTGCTATTATCAACTGACAATTATGTGAACAGTCCACTGGATGACAGTGTTTCTCAGAAGATATACAACTTCCAGGGCAATTCTCATGTTATACCTCAGACTCTTTTTAGAGTAACGGTTGGGAAGAGGAACTAGCGTAGGGTATTGCTGTTTATCTGCTGTCTGGATTATGCTCAGAATTGGAGATGGACTGTTCCCATTGGGACATGCTGTATAGGAAATCCAGCCCACAACCAGCAGGATTGCATGAATTATCTTGTAAGGTGTGCATATGAGATAAAGAAACATGCCGTTAAATATTATATAGGTGGCTAGAGAGAGGAGGGTTTGCTAGAGCAAGGAAGAGAGGAAAGGCCAAACAATTCTGTTTTCGTAGTCCAAATGGATGTATATGAAAGGTCAGAAGCAAACAGAGGGAGTCTTCCATCAGCAATGAAGTGAGAGGAATGTCAGGAAAGGGAAGTAATGAAAAAATGAAAGAACCGACAGACTCGCTGGGTCAGCCCAATGATCCATCCCACCTGATATTCAGACTTTGTCAGTGGCTAGTCAAGTGTGTGAGAGAAAGATCTTTCCCCCTGCACTCTCTTTTTAAAGGCATTGCTTGCCTAGGGAAGAAAATTGTTAGGGGAAGTTGGTCATCAGAAAAAAGAAAAGAAAATGATAGCTTTGAAAATAAACAGTTCTCCTTTTTTTGCTCTTTTTGATCATAGCAGCAGGAAGAAGTATAAATGCTTTTGGAAACACTGAGAGGTTGGGCTATCACAAATAATTCAATCAACCTGATTCTTTCTTTCTCTTTCTTTCTTTCGTTCTTTCTTTCTTTTGCAACATGCAGCATGGAGGAGGATGGGGGAGAAATTTGATTATGTTTGCATATAAAGGGAAGCCTACCTAATTCACACTTCCTGGAACAATGCCTGATCCTGGAAACAGCCATCCTTGGGAATTTTCATGTCTCCAAATCCTGCACTGCAGTTCTCCAGTCAAGCAAAGTGTACAAAAATAAGTATGCTAAGCTAAAATGGATCCCTGACCCACCCAGTTCAAGTCCAATTGCTAGATAGCTTTCATCCAACCCATGGCCTCTTGCAGCACAGACAAGGAAAATCTGCCTGCATGTTTGCTCCTTCGGCATTGCAGCTTTGGATTGATGAGTTAGCAAGTCCAAGTGGAGATCCTGTCCCTATCAATTCTACCCCCACAGCCTTGTTAGGACAGTTCTGAAGAAGCCTCCCTCTGCCATAAAATATACCTCAAGATGCTCTCCAAATGTTTGTTTTGTATTATAGTTTCCTGAAACCAGCACTTGAACTCTTGAACATTCTCTCAGCTTGAATGCAAGCCATGGCTTCAAAGGGGAAATGTTCCTTTGCATCCCAAGCTTGAGCTGCGTCCCTGACTTGAATTTCAATAAACCTAGTGATGGCTGGTGACCATTGTGAGGAAGAAGGCAGCGAGCCCAACAGTGGGTGGAACCAGAACCAGTGACAGGCAGGACCATTTAATCCTAATTTTGTCTTCATCTTCCTGCCTGCAGAATTCTACAAGGCCAGGACTAGCACTAAGGAGGAGGAGGCTTGACAGCTAGGGCTACCCCCTAGAATTGGTTCTGTGTCAGAAGGCAGACAAGTGGAAGCTGGCTGAGGGTGTGCTGAAATTAGTGCGGCAGTGTGCTACTTGCCCTAATGGAGCAGCCTTCACTGGATAAACAGCAAAACTATGGTTAATTAGAGCTTTTGTGATTGAATCAGACCTCACCCAAACAGAAGAGTGAAAGAATTCCATGAATGAGTAAACACATGTACTTAATAAGCTGAGATAGAAACAACTGAATTGAGCCTGGGTCTCTGTGTGTGCCTGTGAAGTATATATCGGAGATTTGCTTTGACAAGTTTGAAATTAAACATTCTTGCCAATTTAAGTCATGGCAGTGTCTGAGAGGCGGCAAAAGATTAATTTTTCATCAGCGTAACAAAAACCAAAACATTTCAGCGGAGGCTTGCTTGCTTTTCAAAAGCAGAAACGACTAGAGATTAATTGTAAAAGATAAAAAAGGATTTATTCTACTGAAATACCTTTACAGTGGAAACTACTTTTTCTTTTTCTTTTGTGCAATGACTATGTAAGTACCTAAAATGTGACCTGGTCCAAATGCCTATAGTGCCCATCTGAACTCTGATGTGCTTATAGAATCCTGAGACATTCAAGACTTCATATTCAGTTCAGGGGGAGCCGAGAACCACCTTGCACACACCAAGATTCTAGTGGGTGCAGAAAGTCTAGTCATACTATGGGTGAATGGATTCCAATGTCCAATGGGCCATTGAGTCCAGCATTGTGTTCTCAGTGTCCAACCAGATACCCACGGGAAGCTCAAAAGCAGGACTTGAGCACTATTGGTGATCACAGCATTCCTTTCTAGGTGCTCACAGACTGTTTGCTTAATGATCTGCTCCAGAATCTTCCCTGGTATTGATGTCAGACTGACTGGGCGGTAATTAAAAGAGAGGACCCAAATAATTACCGCCCAGTCAGTCTGACATCAATACCAGGGAAGATTCTGGAGCAGATCATTAAGCAAACAGTCTGTGAGCGCCTAGAAAGGAATGCTGTGATCACCAATAGTCAGCATGGATTTCTGAAAATAAGTCATGTCAGACTAACCTGATCTCGTTTTTGACAGAATTACAAGCCTGGTAGATGAAGGGAACGCAGTGGATGTAGCCTACCTTGATTTCAGCAAGGCATTTGATAAGGTGCCCCATGATATTCTTGTAAAGAAGCTGGTAAAATGCGGTCTTGACTATGCTACCACTCAGTGGATTTGTAACTGGCTGACTGACCGAACCCAAAGGGTGCTCATCAATGGTTCCTCTTCATCCTGGAGAAGAGTGACTAGTGGGGTGCCACAGGGTTCTGTCTTGGGCCTGGTCTTATTCAACAACTTTATCAACGACTTGGATGATGGACTCAAGGGCATCCTGATCAAATTTGCAGATGACACCATTCTGGGAGGGGTGGCTAACACCCCAGAGGACAGGATCACACTTCAAAATGACCTTGACAGATTAGAGAACTGGGCCAAAACAAACAAGATGAATTTTAACAGGGAGAAATGTAAAGTATTGCACTTGGGCAAAAAAAATGAGAGGCACAAATACAAGATGGGGACACCTGACTTGAGAGCAGTACATGTGAAAAGGATCTAGGAGTCTTGGTTGACCACAAACTTGACATGAGCCAACAGTGTGACGCGGCAGCTAAAAAGCCAATGCAATACTGGGCTGCATCAATAGGAGTATAGCATCTAGATCAAGGGAAGTAATAGTGCCACTGTATTCTGCTCTGGTCAGACCTCACCTGGAGTACTGTGTCCAGTTCTGGGCACCACAATTCAAGAAGGACACTGACAAACTGGAACGTGTCCAGAGGAGGAGCAACCAAAATGGTCAAAGGCCTGGAAACGATGCCTTATGAGGAACGGCTAAGGGAGCTGGGCATGTTTAGCCTGGAGAAGAGGAGGTTAAGGGGTAATATGATAGCCATGTTCAAATATATAAAAGGATGTCAGATAGAGGAGGGAGAAAGGTTGTTTTCTGCTGCTCCAGAGAAGCGGACACGGAGCAATGGATCCAAACTACAAGAAAGAAGATTCCACCTAAACATTAGGAAGAACTTCCTGACAGTAAGAGCTGTTCGACAGTGGAATTTGCTGCCAAGGAGTGTGGTGGAGTCTCCTTCTTTGGAGGTCTTTAAGCAGAGGCTTGACAACCATATGTCAGGAGTGCTCTGATGATGTTTCCTGCTTGGCAGGGGTTTGGACTCGATGGCCCTTGTGGTCTCTTCCAACTCTATGATTCTATGATTCTATGATTCACTGTACTCTGCCCTCCTGCAGTTCCCAGGCATACTACCTCTAATGGTGGAGCCAGAGCATAGCCATCATAGCTGTGTTGTGTAAGGGAGGGAAGGTGCGGCCATCACCTGCCCCTCCATGCTGAAGGCTATTCCATTAAAGGAATCCAGGAGTGTGGATCTCGTTCGAAGCCCGGGGAGGCGCTAGGGCCATGCCACGACCCCATCTGGAACCCAGGGGATGCTCAAGTCGATCTGCATCGGCGGGGCTCCCCCTACTGGTGCTTTACCCATACAGACTTCCTGCAAGGCAGGCAGGAGTCAGATATAGTCTGTTGGCAATGCCTAAGCCAATACCGCTCACATTCTGCAACCTATAAAGTTGTGGCCTAAATTTGCCCATTAACATTAACCTAAAATTCTGTGTCCTTGTTCTGCTGAGCGTGGCTTAGGGGCCTTGACACGCAAACGGATATTTCAAGGCATACTGCCTCTGATGGTGGAGCCAGGGTATAGCCATCATAGCTAGCCATTGATAGCCTTCTCTTCCATGAATTTATCCAATCCTCTGCTAAAGTCATTCAAGTTGGTGGCCATCACGACCTCCTTTGGGAGCTAGTTACGTAGTTGTGCTGCATGAAGACGCCCTTTCTTTCATCTCTCCTGTACCTTCCAACATTCAGAAATCCCTACAGTTTCTCTGTGTTATTGTTCTGGCATTGTGATATTTCTTGGGCTTAGACCTCTAGCAGGAACAGCAGATTTTGGGATGTTGACATAGGATACTTGTGCACCTGCAGGAAGAAATCAATGAGCAAACACAATTAAAATTAATCTCTAGATAAGCCTTCACCAACCTTGTTCCCTCCAGGTGTTTTGGACTACAACTCCCATCAGCTCCAGCCATATGCTTATACAAATCCAATCTGAACCTGGTCACTATGCCAGGTCCAACTTTTGTTCCCCCCTCCCACTTTCCACTCCAGATGGCATGAGGACTGAGACTGCAGGTGAAGCAGTGGCTATACCACTCTTTAATGCCCTGCTGCCGTCCAGTTGGGGTTTGGAATTCTCTGTAACTCCTTATATTTCCATTTAGATATTTGCTGTCAAAAATTGCCTGAGTTATTTATAAAAGCGGGGAGACAGGACCCATAATCCATTCCTTGTGGACACTATAATAAAATTACAGAATGCTGCAATTATCTATAAATGTGCCTCACACACCCCATTTTTATATACATTTAGCTTCTGATGAGCTTGATAATTCCTGACATTTGTTCCCCCAGATCTGCTGCTTTTATTTAAATACTCTCTAATCAGCTAAATAAAGATGTATATGATAAAGCAAAGGAAAAAATAATAATAGCAAAAGCACAGACAATGCCTTGCAGCAGTTCTCTGGCATTTTGAAAGAGATGGAGGGGGGTTGAATTCTAAAGTATCTCCATATTCATGATGACTTGGAGCAAAAATCAGAATGCTGAATTTTATCTTTAGACTTGCTATAGGTTTGCTGTTATCTTTGAATGTTGATTATAAGAGGGGCGGGGGGGGAAACAGTGGTGGCTTGTGCCCATTGGGGCTGGTAGGGTGGAAGGCAAGGGGTCTAACAGTAGGTGGAGCCACAGCCAATGACAAACAGAGCTAATGAATGTTAGTTTTATTTTTCCTTACAAGGGCAATATAAAGACTATGGAGGTGAGAGCTGACTGCTAGGACCATCTGTTGGGCTGTTTATAAGAAGGAAGGAAGACTGGAGGTGGCTGGCTGAAGGTAGAATGAGTTTGTTGGGCTAGTGCCCTGTTCACCCTTATAGACCAGCTTCCACTGCTGGAGGATGGAAGGGAAGGGCAACAAATTTGTGAACTTGGCCCTAACAACCACCCATAGTATTATGTGAAGGACAATGGGTGGTAACATGGGACATGAGTTTGCAGGAAGTAGACATTGAGAAGCTGATATTAAAGAGGTTAAATGGAAGAATGGGCATGGGGGAATATGAGTATGACATATCTTTCCGGAGGCTAATTCTTACCAGCATTGAGGTCCCAATCCTCAATGGCAGCAGATAATGATCACAGCATGGAGAGATGCTGTCTGTGAGATCCTCTGGTCTTGCCTCTGACCACCATTAGCCCACATGCTTATTTAGGGGGTTATAGACTTTCTGATTCCTCTATCCATCCTCAAATTTTCTATTTAACCCCAAGACTGAGAAGATCACTTATGTAAGTTCACTTCGGAGAGCAAAACTCTTTTTAAAAATTGTGTTCCAATTGCACTTACCAGCAAATCAAAGCATGTTTGCTCTCTAGAATAAATTGGCATACAAATTGGTGCTCAGTGTGTACAGAAATGCATAAACTGGGGCAAAGTGTGCCTAACAATGCATTTGTTTGTGAAATTAACATACAACGTTGCATTATATTAGGGGCTTTGCAAAAGCGAGCATAGCAGAGAAATTAGCACTAAAATACTGGTGAAAAACTTTAAATATGTTTTTGCAAACTGCTGTGGAAATATGGAGAATGAAGTGTATTTCAGATTAGGAGGTGGGGAGATCAGATTTGTCCATTCCTAACTACAGCTCCTATAATCTCTGACCATTGGTCATGCTGGATGCACCTGATGGAGTTGTAGCCCAACAATTTATGAAAGGCTACAGGTTCCCCACCCCTGCCTGACAGCATCTGTGCAGATGCTCTGTGTTATGCTTAATAAAGCTGTGGTCCCACTGAATCCAACCCAACAGTATTTCACCTCTTATTGCTAGGTGTGTGCATAATTTCTAATCCTCCCTTCCTGCACCCCTACCCACCCTGCAAAACTATTGCATGCTGCAGAAGAGCTTGGATATATGGTGTCATGTGTTTTCTACAGTCTTCCGATGAAAGCTAATTCATTGCAGTTTGATGCTGCACTGCTCTGACCTTTGCAGTATTTTATATGTTGAGCAGCTGGCCGCTCTTCGCTTTCCCAGAGGCTAGCAAGGCTGTAAACAGGAAGGAAAGTGGAATAGCAGCCAATCTAATTACAGAATATTGAAAAGGTCAAAGGAGTGCAGTGTGTGCCACTCTGATTTACAGAATGCACGAGTGGTCCAAAGCCCCAGTGATAAAAAGGAATTGTTATCAGGAATAATAACATACTTACCCGGTGGGAACCATAGTAACTCCACGCATTTGGTGAGGTTTCTGAATAGATCTTTTTGGATTTTGAACAATAGATGTACAAAAACCTCACGCATCTAAAAGAGTGTCACCTGCATTATACAGCAAGGCAATATCACAGTGCCTAGCTGTATGGTTGCCAAACAATTTTGGCAGTGGGTGGGGAATTGGATTGGTTCTGCTTTGGGCCAGACTACCGTCAGTGGAAGAAAATCTTCCTCATACTTTTTTTTTAAGCCCTAGATTAGTTGCAGGGAACCTGTGGCCCTCTAGATGTTGTTGTACCATCGCTCCCATCAGCCCCAGGCATGAGGGATGATGGGATTTGTAGTCCATCAGATTGTGGAGAGTAACATATTTTCTATTCTCGCCTTAGATGAATAGTTTTGTATAAGGCTTGACCCCACCAGGATTACTAAAAAAACCACATGACTGTGCTTATGGAACCACAGATTGGATCCATCACTTGTTCCATCTCCAGACCCAGTTTGGCTGTGCCCAAATGTCCTGACCAGATGCCAGCGTTTATTCTGCAAG